TTTGGGAAACACTGGCCTGCGAGTGCTCCAGTTGGAGAACAGCCTTTACCAAAGGTGTCATGAGCTTTGAAGACACTCGAACTCAGGACACAAGGAAGAAACGTGCTAAGAGGGAGGCACACTTGGCAAATCCACACTGTGATCAACTCTCGCCCGGAAACCAATGTCCCCACTGTGGAAGGACGTGTGGATCCAGAATTGGCCTCCACAGTCACTTACGGACTCATTGTTAAAACGGTGTTTATGGAAGACAATCTTACTCGGCTACGAGTGATCGCCAAAGAAGAAGAAGAAGAAGAGATTGTGAAAAGAACACACAAAATATGCATTATTATTTTTTTGGCAGGGGGAACTGCTTGCAAACTGTCTATTCGGAAAAATGTACATTAAAATGGTGACTAATTTTCAGGAGGATAATAATGTGAACCACCCTGAGACCTGTGGGTGGTATATAAATTCAATCAATCAATCAATCAATCAATCAATACTACTAATAATAGTGGGGTCTATGGGGTATTAGGGGAGGGGTAGTACCTCTGGTGGGGTCATGTCATGTTCCTTCTAGGTTGTTTGTCCACCTTTGGTCCCCACTTAGTTCTCACCGTGTGGCTCCTAGAAGCTGTCAGCATGAGAAAGCAGCTGTACCCTGGGAATGGCTTTGACTGGCCAACTAGACCAGATGAGGGGAGCCAGTGGTTCTCAAAGCCTCAGTGAGTTAGGGTCTTCCCCTGTATGCGAATAAAGGCTCTGGTGAGCTGAGCAGATGAGACCAACAGTGGGTCCAACAGTCAAGAAGGTGGTTTCTGCACGTGCAGAAGGGAAGGTAGAGAAGGAAAACCCTAAACCTCCACTGCCTTGAGGGATATCTTTGGGAGAAGAAAAGGCTAAGGAGTAAACTCTACATAAATCCAGAATGGAGTCCTTAAGATGGTCGGATGGCGCCTTGTACGCCTCCTCCCAGCAACTCCTGCAGCCAAGCTGGTGCCAAACGTCTTGCTCTGCTTTTCTTTGGACCACATCTGTGAGGCTGAGAGTGGGGTCTTGTCATCTGGGCAGCTCAGACTCGGAGCCAGAGGAGTCTCAGTCCGCACCGGATCCTCTGCCTCAGGCAGCATCTGACCCTAGTCTGGGGCCTGATTCTGAAGAGCCCCAGTCTGCACAGGTTCCCCTGCAGCAAACACCAGCTGGGCCGAGTCAGGGGCCTGAGCCTGCCCTGGCTCCAGATGCGGGGATGACCTCGTTGCCCTCTGCTGGGCCATCACTTACAGCTGCTCCACTACCAGTTGGGTCAGGAGAGGCTGAGGCGGCCTCTGGATCTAGTAACCCACCGATATCTCCTGAGCTGCAGAGACTCAGGTCTCCCAGGACCTCCTTACATACTGCCCAGGCTTGCACCCGGGGAGATCACTTCAGTGCTGCAAACGTAGTGTTTTGAATTCACTTCCAGAGGTGCACTCCATTGCCTCTCGAGAAAGACAGATGCCAACAACAACAGTCCAAAACATCTAGAAGATTGCAGGTTGGCAAAAAGCTGCTGTTCATGTGCTCTCCTGACAGAAATGAGGCAACTGAAGCAATTTTCGGTTTCTCATCCATCCAATCTTAAGTATTGTTTGCCGCATTTATAACTCACCTGTTCACCAAGGCATTGTACGTGGTTCCAACCCCACCTTCTCATTTTATCCTCATAACAACCCTGTGAGGTAGGATAGGCTGAGAGACCGACTGGCCCATGTAAGCGTCATGGCTGACTGCTGGCTTGGGTTGCTGGGTAAAGGTAAAGGGACCCCTGACCATTAGGTCCAGTCGTGACCAACTCTGGGGTTGCGGCGCTCATCTCGCTTTATTGGCCGAGGGAGTCGGCGTACAGCTTCCGGGTCATGTGGCCAGCATGACTAAGCCACTTCTGGCGAACCAGAGCAGTGCACGGAAATGCTGTTTACCTTCCCGCCAGAGCGGTACCTATTTATCTACTTGCACTTTGACGTGCTTTCGAACTGCTAGGTTGGCAGGAGCTGGGACCGGGTAACGGGAGCTCACCCCGTCGCAGGGATTCCAACCACCGACCTTCTGATCAGCAAGTCCTAGGCTATGTGGTTTAACCCACAGCGCCACCCGCGTCCCCTATATCATTTATCCCGTCCCAAACGTTTGGTGAAGACTGCCTAAGAGGAAAGTAAATACAGGAGCACTGTGGTCCCGAGCTGTGTAGGGCTTTAAAAGCAGACACGAGGTCTTCAAACTGGGCTCCGAAGCAGACTATCTAGGGAATGGGAAGATGAAAAATGGGGACATATTATAAATAATGGAACTTCTGCAGCACAGCAGCTATTTTTACGCTGGGATCATTAGGCAGTTTCCACTCTCTTGCTCGGAGATCAAACTGAATAGATCTCAAAATGTCTTGGCTGTATAAATACGGCGGCAGCTCTTCACGGCTGGTTTTTCTTCACCAGCCACATCGGGCATGTAGTAAAAAGTTTGCAGAATCTCCGAAGTCAGCTTGCGGCAGTTCATTTCCCCAATGTTGGACAGCTCACAGGCCCTTCTCTGCAGGTGCTTTAAAAATAAATAAATCTTATCTGTATCCCACCTTTCCTCTGAGAGCTCAAGAGGGTTATGCTGGAAGATTCAGGACACAAAAGGGAATCCTTGTTTGCACGCTGTAGGGGAATTGCTGTGATCTACAGAAATTCTCCCTCTCTAGCCTCTCTGCCCCAGTGATGGGGAGGAAATCTAGAGTATGCCTTCTTGGCATTGGGCAATTGGGACAGATCCTGCTGGTTTACCTTGCTGAACAGCAGTCTCCCTGCCTGAGCCTACAGAGCTGGTTTCAGAGGCGGTGTTGAGGACTCCCAGACTGCTGATAGTTTTGGTGGACTTCCAGGAGGCTCCTCTAATGTTATTATGAAGTTGACAGCCAGGGCTACTCTCTGGACTGGATAGAAGTAATAAGGCAGGCAAACGGGGAATGGCTAAGGGCAGGCTGAGGTTGGTGGGCCAGTAGGCCACTGGCTCATGTGATAACCAGGCAGAAGAACTGTTGGATCAGGCCTGCTGGATCAGGCCAATGACCCATCTAGCCCAGACTCCTGCTATCTCTGAGGCCAGTCAGATGCCTGTGGCAAACCGGCAAGCAGTGTTGGGATTCCATTCCACCTTTGCTGCAGACATGGGATTGTTACCTGTCACATGTCTGTTTATATTCCAGCACAGATTGCTGGCATGAGCAGAACTTCCACTCTGTATTGCTTTTGTTTTTAGTCTCTGTGCTGGTCCCGTGGGTTACCCGAGAGGCGAGGTCCAAGTCCGGTCCGTGGTCAAAGGTGCAACGTGGAGGCAGTCCGTAGTAGCTGAAGCTGGGTGCAGGGCAGGGAGTCAGGTGAAGTCAGGGACAGGCATGCAAGCAGGGAGCCAGGGTGGGTCAGGAGCTCAGGCAGGAAAGCAGGACAGGGTTCAGGCAGGAACCAACAATGTTGCTCCCGCAACTTGGGGCTGGGGCTAGCCGGCTTTTATCTGCCCCGAGGCACAGGGCGGCCCCGATCCTCTGGTGACTCGCCTCTCCTGGCCTGGAGGTGAGCATTCCTCCTGCAGGAACTTAGTTCTCTCCACCTCTCTGCCCTGAGCCTCTGCAGCTCAGGAGATGCTGGAGGGTTACCATACCCAGAGGCAAACTCAGCTACCCCTGACGGGGCTGAGAGTGGAGCACCTGCAGGCAATGGGTCCTCCATCACCTCAGGAGCCAGAGCAGATTCAGTTGATGCCTGCACCTGAGGATCCAGCACAGTTGAGGACCCTTCAGGCTCATGCCCCAGCCCCGGATCAGCTGGTTCTGGGGGCGGGGAATCCTGTGCAGGCTGGGATCCCTCAGGTTCAGCATCCAAGTCAGAATCGCAGGCCGTCACAGTCTTTTTCTGAGAAGACGGCAAGGAGAGATGCCATGTTTACTTTGTCCTGATTTATGTATAATAAATGCGTAGTTTAGTATGTATCTACAGCCTCAAGCCTCTTCTGTTGCACAGTTTACAGTAAAGTGTGCTCAAGTCTGGAAGCTTGAGTCACTGATATACGTCGGAGCAGAGGTTGATGAATCTCCGCAGCAGCAAGGCTGAGGGGAGACACTCCAGCTGGGGCCGAGCCAGCTGGCCTTTCGACCCCCTGATTCCGACAAGCAGAATGTGAGCACAAGAGCACGACTCTGCCACTATTGCATACCCATGTGGGCCACCTTGTGCCCACATTCCAGCTGCCATGAGCCAGGTGTTTGAAGGGGGAAATCCTATTACTCTGATGCCTTCAGCAAATGTTTGCCTAGGGAGCCTCTGCCCAGAGGGTTGAATGTGGCCCTCCAAATTTCTCAATCTGGCCCTTGGTCTCTCTTCGGGACACAGTCCTCATTGCCCTTGCTACACATTCTGCTCAAGTCCTTTCTCTCCCCCCCCCCAAGCTGGAAGATGTTCTTAAATTTTGATAATACTTTTACGTGTGTGTGTGGAAACCTTTGCAAGACTGGAAGGTAGCTCATGGTGCAAAGGTGTATTGCTTCACCTTTGTTCTTGCCTGCTTTTTGCCTTAAGGCACACCTACATTTGTCTTTGGCCTCACCCACCTGTCAAAGGCCGAAGGAATACACCCGGCAGACAGTAAACCCTTTATCGTCAACTATGACACTTACAGTCATTTCCACAGCTCCAAATACCCATGCACACCAGTCGAGCATCTAGGCAGCTCTATGGAGCAGTTGCAGCAACAGGGAACCGTTCCCCCTCCAGCAGTTTAGGTACCTTCCCCCAATGGGCTGCAAGTGTACAGCCAGAGACTAAGCCTGCTCATCCCTTTTCAACCCCCTCCTGGTTCTAGGAGAGAGTGGTGGCGTAGGGGGCGGGGAAAGCAGTTGGCCCTTCACTTGTCATGTATATCATAGAATCATAGAATTGGAGAGTTGGACGGGACCCTAAGGATCATCTAGTCCAACCCCCTGCAATGCAGGAATATGCAGCTATTGCGGACGGGGATCGAACCTGCAACCTTGGCATTATCAGCACCACACTCTAACCAACTGCACTACGTCCCTGACCTGCCTCTTCCTTCTCTTCTTGCGACCCATTCTGTGCTCCATTCTCCAGCTCTGAAGCTTCCAATGCCTCTGATTATTGCCTCCTGGCAGGTACAGTTCTCCACAAATCACTGCCCCCCTTTCCTCAGTGCACACTTGCCAGCGTCCTTGTCAGGGACTGGGCAGAGGAGGACTGGTAGAGACCGTGTTCCCAGCCTGACCCTTCCAGAGAAGAAGGAAGACAGTTCAGAATTACAACAGGGGTTTGAGGGAGAGCACAGCTCAGAGGCAGAAGAGGGGGAAAGCTGGGAAATAATGGGAGAGGAGGAGGAACCACCAGGAGGGCAACAGCTGATGGACACAGTGTCTTTAGAAAGCATTCCAGACCCCCCCTCCCAGAACCCGGCGAGGTTGGAGCTGAGATCCAGCTCCAAGGGCCTTCTGGTGATTCCCTCATTGCATGAAGGGAAGCTACAGGGAACCAGGCAGAGGGCCTTCTCGGTAGTGGCGCCCGCCCTGTGGAACGCCCTTCCATCAGATGTCAAGGAAATAAACAACTACCTGACTTTTAGAAGACATCTGAAGGAAGCCCCGTATGGGGAAGTTTTTAATACTGGATGTCTTGCTGTGTTTTAATTTGCCGGAAGCCAACCAGAGTGGCTGGGGTAACCCAGTCAGATGGGCGACATATGAATAATAAATTATCATTCGTAGTGGTGGTATTCTAGGTTTCTATTTTTTGCTTCTATCTTAAGAAGGGAGAGGGATGAAATTCAATTCAGTTTGCATTTAAAGGCGAGTCTACCTAACTTGCCCTTTCTGAAACAATATGGAAACCGCAATGTAGCCATCTTTTGAAATTCACACTTCTCCGAATTTTGCAGTGCACTTCTCCAGCAAATTGATGTGTACAAAAGTACCTATATACTTGGGGGCAGGGGCTGTTAAAGTGTGCATGAAATTGCCTGCATCCATGAAAACAACACACCAAAATGCATGGCATAGATCTACAATTTTCACTGAGATGTGGAACCAGGGGGGAAAGGAACTTAAGCCTGGCAAACTCCAAAACCGGGAGAACCCAAACTGGATCGATTCATCCTTCCTTGCTCTCGGGCCCCAGCCTCCTAAATGCAAAGGAGTGTTTTGTTATTCGGAGAGTATGGTAACTTGAACGGCCTAAAAATACGAGGCTGATCTCATGACCGAGGGTGGCCTGCATTCCTCACCTCTGACATAACCCACTGGGAGCGTTCTTGCAGAAAAACACAAACAAGATGTCCTCGCTGCTGGCTGGCTCGGTGTGCTTACGCTCAAAACCCTCTATGAGGCCCCCAGATGTTTGAGCTAGTTTAGCACTCAGCCCAGCTCAGCTCTTCCCCTCCCCGGCTACAACCAAACCACACGGCCGGCCGCAGTAACAGGACGCTTCTCAGCTCCGGACGGGTAACAGCAGAACCCTTCGTACGCCCCAAAATGTTCACTCCACCCGTGCCAGCCGCTTGGCCCTTTCCACTCACCCAACCTAGATGTAATTCCTGGGCATGCTGAAAGGGAGGGGAGGGGAATAAGCCCAGCATCTCCCCCCCCCAAAAAACAAATTTATTAGATTTTTCACAATTATAATAAATATGACATAGGGAAAAAAAAACACATTACAATACTAGAAAAGAAAAACAAAAAAGAAGTTTTAAACACATATCCCTTGAAAACCCAATTTTTCTTACATTGTTAATTGACTTCCTCAGATCCCTCCCTTCTGAATTTCATCATATCTGCGTATAACAGCTCTCCAATATCATTCTTAAACTAAAATTATTTCCAGCAATTAACTATCTTGTTCTCTTTTCTTACTGTTCTAAATCCAACTTACTTACAATTAAGTCCTATTTTAATCCTAGGCCTGTTTGGTACTTTCAAGTGACTTCTAATTATTTATATTACAATATTTATTCAAATAGTCCTTAAATTTCTTCCAGTCTTCTTGATATTCCTCTTCTTTCTGGACGCGGATTCTTCCAGTCAGGTCGGCTAGTTCCAAAAAGTCCAACATCTCCATCTGCCATTCTTCCACAGTTGGGATTTCTTGAGATTTCCAATTTTTAGCTAACAGCAGTCTTGCCGCTGTAGTGGCATACAAAAATAATTTAACATCTTTTTGGGGCAATTCCATTCCTATTATTCCAAGTAGAAAGGCCTCTGGTTTCTTAATAAATGTATTTTTCAACATTTTTTTCCAATTCATTATAAATCTTTCCCCAGAAGTCTTTTACCTTGGGACACGTCTATCATATGTGAAAAAGTTACCTTCTTTCTCTCTACATTTCCAACATGTTAAACCCAGCATCTTAAGGAACAACCATCATTTTGTTTTGAAGCATCTCGGAGAGCAGAGGGGGGAAGAAGGAAGACCTAAACACGCAGGCGCACATCAGTCAACAGAAGGTCCCTCCCAAATGCTTGTAGATGTTTTAATATCTCCAGGCTGAGGCTGTGTTTGCGTTAAAGGCCATCTCACTTCAGCAAAGCCTTAACATGCGCCAAAACGGCTGGACCATTCTCACATAGACTGGACACCCAGCGCGATGAATCCAGCGTCGTTTCAGCCGACCTGGGCTAAGGTGGCTTCCCACAGGGACCAGAAATGTATCCGCCCATCACAAAATGACATTTCGTACGAAAACGCACGCAACCGTCTCTGAGCTGCGGTCAGATGGGTCATTACATACAAGCCCCTTGGAAAAGTTGTGGCATTAATGGGTGGAATATCTCTCGCAAATTCTCTGCTGGTTTCTGCAGGAAGCTCTCACTTCCTGGAGACATTATTATTATTATTATTATTATTATTATTTTATATATATGCCACCCACCTGACTGGGTTACCGCAGCCACCTTGGGCAGCTTCCAACAAATTGAAACACAATACAACATCAAATAATCTAATAATAATAATAATTTATTTATACCCCACCCATCTGGCTGGGTTTCCCCAGCCACTCAGGGCAGCTTCCAGCAGAATATTAAAATACAATGATTCATCCAGTATTAAAAGCTTCCCTAAACAGGGCTGCCTTCAGAAGTCTTCTAAAAGTCTGATAGCTGTTTATTTCTTTGACATCTGAGGGCATTCCACATGACCCGGAAAGCTGTCTGTGGACAAACGCAGGCTCCCTCGGCCTGAAAGCGAGATGAGCGCCACAATCCCATAGTTGCCTTTGACTGGACTTGACCGTCCAAGGGTCCTTTACCCAGGGCTGTCTTAAGCATGTGTGGCACCGTGGTGCAAAGATCCACCCGGTGCCACTACATGGAACTGGCGGAAATGACTGGCAGAATCCGAGACCAGAGAGAAGAGACGGTGAAAGAAGACTGGAAGAAATTTAAAGACTATTTACAGAAATACTGTAAAATTAAGGAATCTTAGAAGGATGTTGGATAGAAACTAAGGGTTTCTTTTAGCTGTAATGCTTTAAGAGATATGAAAAAAGGTTTGCAACTGGGTAATTTCAATGGTAAGGATTTGCTGAATCAACAAATTGAACTGGAATACAAAAAGGGAGGTATGAGGAGGTCCGGGAAATAAGTATAAGGAAGATAGGTTATGGAAATTTAATGTCCTTTTAATTGTTTTATTTGGTATGTTTTCTTTTATTTTTTACTTCTTTGGTTATATTTTAAAAAAACTTTATTCTTTTTCTTTCTGTATTCTGTATTTTTTGTATTTTTTTTGGAAACTTTAATAAATATTATTTAAAAAAAAAACAAAGATCCACCCGGTGCCCCTCCCAGGTTGCCCAGTCCCAGGCCCACAGGAGGGCGGAGCCAGCCGGCCACCTCAGCATCTCGCTGGCTTGGTCGCCCCCGAACTCGTGGTGCAGAGCCGCCCGCAGCAGAAGAGTCCGCTGCGGCGCTCTGACCAACGGGCGGGCTCTTCTCCGGACTCAACTCTCGGACCCCGGACTCTTGGCCTGGTGCCCCTGAGATGCCAGCACCCGGGTGCCCTGCCCCCATAGCGCCTATGGCTAAGATGGCCCTGCCTTTACCTTTTTTACCTCTCCTTTGCCTATTGAAGACTTCCATCCCACCCAAACAGCCTTTCAAGTGAAGATCGTTATCCCAACCTGTCTCTGTATTGGAATGGAAACAGTTTTCACATAAGAGTGTGTTTTTGTGTATATGTGTATGTGTGTGTTGTTCCTTTACATATGGAATTGTTTTTCATTGTTTTTACTGTTGGCGCTTCTGCTGCGAAATCTTTCCGAGATGTTTTGTGGGAAGTGTTTCATAAATAAACTGAATCAAACAAATAAAAGCAAATTCCAACCAGCCGCAGGCGTTGCGGTTGTGCTGGCGAGGGAATTGCAGTACAAAACATGGAGGGTGCCAGTTTGGGAAATGCAGGTATGTATCTATCATCTACCTACCTAACTACCTATCTAGTGTCTCCACCAACAAAACATTACATAAACTTATTTCCTTCGTCCCATTCTTTAAACCCCACAGCTGAAAAATTATATAAGTTGATAAGAACAGAAAAATTGAACCAGAGAGAGTTATGAGTTAGATCAGCCATATTATTAAAAAGCTGATATGCAAATCATTCCTTGATTTAGAATGATCACTATTAATTCAATCTGCAAAACAAAAACCTTGAAAAGAGAAAATATTTTTACAAGGAGGAAAAAAATTGTTATAATAATAATTTATTTTTTATACCCCGCCCATCTGGCTGAGTTTCCCCAGCCACTTTGTGCGGCTCCCAATTGAGTGTTAAAAACAATACAGCATTACATATTAAAAACCTCCCTAAACAGGGCTGCCTTCTGATGTCTTTTAAAAATAGGATAGCTGCTTATTTCCTTGACATCTGATGGGAGGGCATTCCACAGGGCGGGCGCCACTACCGAGAAGGCCCTTTGCCTGGTTCCCTGTAACCTCACTTCTCACAATGAGGGAACCACCAGAAGGCCCTCAGAGCTGGATCTCAGAACAATAGAGCAATGTGCGATGCTCAG